CAAATTTGTAATTGCCTGATTTTAAGTTTTCTTGCATGAGTACTTGTTTTAATTGGGTTGTTGAACACATAAAAAATTTGGATAATTAATTGGGATTGTCTGGAACTTAGAACAGAGGGTTAGGGACCTTAACAAGGGTAATTAAAAAGTCTGAAAGTCGTCGGAGGCGGAGCAGAGGAGGAACACAGGAGGAGAGCCGACTCCCTTTTGAAGAGAGACGGCTCCCCTCTCAAAGAAGCAGCTCCCCATGGTAGGGAGCCGGCTCTACATGCTAGGGAGGCGGCTCCCTTTAAGGGGGAGGTAGCTCCATGCTTGGTGGAGGTGGCTCCTTCCATGGGGGAGGCGGCTCCTCTCCTGATTTGTGGTTTTGACGAGTTTTTGGGCCACAGTGCTTGGATTTCAAAGTGAATTAAGTAATTCTAAGAAGGATTAAAATGATTTCTATGGTGTAGATTAATCTCCTAGAATATGTATTAATTCATAATGAACCACATAGTGCTAATGGCTTGAACAGTATGTAATTCTTAAATTAATTTACATACTGTTAGTGGATATGGATGATTTAAATTGCTTATCTTTATTTTAGCAATTTCCTAATAATGGTTATACAGTTTAATCATGCATCAATGGTAACAAATAAGCATGTTAATTTACATAATTCTACTTTGCTTATTATGGATTAATTGATGTCTACATATATTATATGTATTATCAATTATTGGATTTTGTGAAGTGGTATAAAATAAGCATGTTAATTTACATATTTTTACTATGCTTATTATAGATTAATTGATGTTACATTTATTATCTGTATTATCAATTATTGGATTTGTGGATGATATGCACTGGTATGGAACGGTGACATATTAGGGATGGATTAACTCAAAACGCTAAGTCCTACCTATTTCAATATAAAGGAATGGATTTGCAGGTCCTACTTATATTTATGTCATGTCAACAAATAGTTGAATGACATACTTTGGTTTGGATGGATTTTAAATATATAGTTATAGTACCACGATATGAGCTTGAGTCTCAGGATCGTTGGTTAGGGAGCATATATGCAGTGGGATGCATAATTGGCTATGATGGTTAAAGGTGTACCTTGTTAAGGTCTAGGCACTCATGCCCACTTCAGGTGCTTTTTGCATATTGCCTACTAGTTAAGTTGAGACCGGCCTGTAGCCCAGTAAGAGTCCCTTAGTGTGGATATATATATTTATGGGTTATATAGTTATTGTTGAATTGTTTAGGATGTACATGCGTATCGGGTCTCTATTTGGATTATAATAGAGTATAACTTGCTCGTGGGCCTGACCTACTATTATTTTTTCAAGTGTTCGACAGTTCCGGTCCTACAGATTATTCATGCCGAGCAGAGACGGTTATTCACTCTTTCGACAACGTAGGACTCCTTTTTGTTAGGGATCCACTAGATAGATTCCCGAGTTGTTTAATTTTTAGAGATTTTGGATTATGGGATCAGCTTACTTTATCTTTATTCTTTACATTCTTCTTGTATTCAATGCTTATTTAAATACTTAATTGTTTGGTATCCCTCGGATCTGTGCTCAGACTTGATCACCCGTGACTCTAGAATCGAGGGGTATCACAACTGCCACCTACTATCCTCTAATATATTTTTGTTATTTGCTGACGATTCTTTTGCTTACAATTTGGATTTTGGTGAATATTTATCCGTAATCTGGTGGTAGGAATCTGACGATTAATAAATTTTTCGTCTTATGCCACGTCCAAACAGTTTGTTTTTCTTGCCATCTGTAGTTGCTTTGTATTTGTTCCCACCAAGTAGAAACACTTCCCTTAAACCTGTATTGTACTTAACTTGTTTATCTTCAGGTATATACATATACTCAAAGAAATACTCAACGTCAATAATCCAATCACGTAAATCCTTAATATGAAGATGTCCATTGAAACTGAGAAAATCAATTTTCATTTGAAAATCACGAGTGTCTAGATCTCTTTAGTTCGATGGGGCATAGTTCGATCACGTTAATCCATCCCGAATCCTTCGAACTCTTCATCATTGGAATACTCCGCATAGGCTGGAGGCTTACATGGAGGTACATGAAAGTTATCCATATTCAGTTGGCCACCAGGAACATCTTTGGAATGAACTCAAACAGGTTCACAATCCTGGTTACTACCAATCCCTCTTTGGATCTCTCGTATCATACGGTCCATCCATTGTTTAAAGTTTAAACTGATTTTCTTGAGTTTGTGTGGCTGCCCAAAGGGCCTGCTCGCTGTTTGTCACCATAGTGGTTGGTGTCATTACTTCTCTTACCACTTTTTCACCCCCTCTATTGCCACTATTGCCAACGTCACCTCTGACATTAGCCTTCTTAGCCACAAATCTTACTCTTCCCCACCCATGAGTAAATAAAACTAAAATGAATACAAACACAAATTGAGTCTAGACCCATAAGGAACCACCACTGTCGCCATTATGATTACTGACCTAACCACCACTTTCCCTTTCCGTATAAGTAAGATCATCAAAGTCTCTCTTGATACATCGATGATGGGAAAACCTACCAAAACAATGCAACCTCTGAAACCACATCAACAACAATCGGCCACCATATGCATTTTATTTAGATTACCTAAATAGTGACCATGTTGATTATTATTGCCAAATGACGCAAATTGACTACTTTCATGTCATAGGTTTCTTGGTGTCATCAAATTTTCATCTTAACAAAATGATAGCCTTTGATGAAAGAATTGAGATTGAGATATGTTAGTGGGTTAATTATGTACTTGTTGTCTATTAAGGGCCTGTTTGGTATGTTTTTGTTTTTGGTGTTTCTGTTTTTGTCGAGTACTGTAGCAGTGAACATTGAAAAAACGTGTTTGATAAACACTGTTTCATTTTGCACAATGCCGAAACATTTCGTGAATAGTGGCAAAAAATCGAAACATCAATTTGAGATTTTTATATATTTTCACACTGTAGCGTTTGGTACTATAACGATGACTAATAATTTTTTTTATTTAAAAAAAACTCTTAAATGACATTTTTTTACCAACCATTATATTTTTCAAACTTTCATCACTTTTTTACCAAATATGTTTTCATGTTTTTGCTTTCATGCACGAAATGGACATTACAAAACATGTTTTCGATTACTATTCAAAACATTCTCTAACAAAACACTTATTTAGTTTCAGGTTAAAACAAAATGCCAAAAACAAAACGCATACCAAACAAACCCTAAATGTGTATCAAGATTTGGTAGTTTGTGGTAATGGTGGAAAGAAGGGGAGGGGGTGGTTGTTCTATCAATGGTAGTGGTAGTGGTAGTGGCCGTTAGGGATTAGTCGTGGCGTGATGTAGAGATGGGATGGTGGTGGGGATGATAGATTTAGATAGGGTGAGAGAGATGAATGATTAGTAAGATAAGGTAAAATTAGTAAAATAAATTTATTGTCCTTGCATTAAAAATAATGAAATCACTTGATATAATAAAAGTGGAGGTAAAATTGTAAATAGATCTTGACTCTAACAAAGATGTCAGTGTTAGTTAATAACAGAAAATCTCATAGGTATTAAAGTAATTCATTTTTTTTTCTTTATATATATATATATATTATTTTTAGGATGATTTAGTTATATATCGTAAATTACACTAATCTCCACTAAGGTTTGAACAAATTACACATAGGTAGATCATTCAATATTTATTACTTTGACCACTCTTAAACACGTTCGCCGACTATTGAAAAGTAATTTTGAGTGTGAAAAAGTTAGTAATGTCTTTGTATTATAATAATATAATATATTGCATTTTATATAAATGAAGGACAAAATGATGATTTTATAAAATTTGGTTAACATGTTTATCGAAAGAAAACTCTAGGGAGTGTCGTTGAATACACAAGTCAAAGTTCAGAGAAAGTTAAAGTAATAAATGTTAAATAGTGTACTCCAATTTAATTTGTCCAACTACAGAAAAAGTATGTGTAATTTACCCTTAAAAATATATGATATATCCACGAGGCACAATTTAGAGAGGGCACCAAATGGGTTCACGTGTGGGCCAAAAGAAAAGTATGAACCCGTGAACATGAAATGCACTGATTCAAAGAGCGTTCATTGAAGAAAACAAACACACCATCCGACAAGGACCCCCCTACCCTATTCGAATCATAAGGACACAAGGACCCTTCATTCTTCACTTTACTTTGGAGTAATTTATCGATAAGGACCCGTGACATGACACTGTTTAAATTATGTGGGTCGTTAGCTTTCACTCACGAATCCATTCTCACCCCATCAACTTCAGCAAATATAAAGGAACCCACATGCAATTGGAGTCATATAATGTAGATTTGATCTTTTATAAAAATAGCGAGATTTGATCAGGATTGAAAGTGGGTAAAATTTGCCCACCATGAAGTCAAATACTTTAAAGTTTATTTACTTAAAATATATACTTAGTTTTTTATTTTTTTATTTTTATTTTTTTTTGTACATATGCAAGTACACTATGAGGGACACACATTGTCACACCAGACCTTATTGATTGAGACTATATACAGCTTTACTTTTGCATTTGAAGAGATTGTTTTGATTTTATTGATTAAATAAATATTGCAATACCCATCAGACAAGGATCAGATGGAAGGTTTATTTCTTGCTATTTACAATATATATAAACAAATGCTAGGAAAAATAGCAGACCCTGATCCTTTCTTTTATCATGTTGAAATGGAACTAGTTAATTAGAGTAGGAATCTTGGTGTGTCTTTGTTAAATAAATAAATATATATATATATATATATTGGAGGTCATTTTAATGTTTGGTGTAGGGTCAAATTCTCTTGAACAATATGGGTTGGGTGGGTTTATGAGTTGGACGTGCGCTATCCTGTTGTAGTTCCTGACATTGATTGGGGAAAACAAAAAGAATGAAACAAAAACAAAAAATTGCATTCAAGTTCCAAAGATAAATTGAAAAAGAAAAGAGGACTTCAAAATCAATGAACCAAACATGTTTTGTAATTACCTTATTTCCAATTATTTCAATTTGAATTCCAAGTAGAATCAAACCATATGAAATGAACCATCATATATGCATCAAATTAACTATATATTGGATCATTAACACTTCCAGAATCATGATATCTCTCACTTCTTGGATCTCGAAACCCTTCTGATCAAAACCATCAAACAAAGCACACGATACAACACAAAGAATCCAATCAAGATATAGATGTTTGTCCATCTCTGCCTCTCATGAAGCCCTCTCTTTTGCAACACACCACGCCCCGTTAACATGCATGTCTTGTCCACATCAACATACCAGAAACACCGTGATATATGGCAAGAGTACTCATTGATGAGAAGAGCATCAAGGGCATACTTGTACATTGAGAAGTAGTGCATGAACAGCCAGTACTTGGGCATGTTCTCTTTCGATATGAAGTAGCCGGAGAAGAGAAAGAAACCCCCTAGAAGCATCGTCACAAGAGACGTTCCGGCGATGTAGTTCGGAGTTATGGAGCTCAAGAAGAGAACAAACGAATTAGCCATCAAGACTATGATCCATATGACCAAAACAAAGTAAGCAAAAGCTTGCCATGAAGCACAAAGTCCCACCAAGAAGTAGACCGAAATCGAGTACACGATGGCTATGGCGAAGAGGTAAGGCAAGAAGACTAATGTGTTTGCTATGAGATATGATGATAATCTGTAAATCCCACTTGAAGTTTCTCTCAGTACAATTGGCCTTTCATTGATGAAGATTGGTAGGGTTTCAGTTGTGGAGGAAAGAAGGAAGGTGAGAGTGAAGGCGAAAAGGCCTAGTCTCTTTTCCAACCCTTTCTTGTCAAACCCAATATTGATGTAAATTGTTCCCAACACAAGACCAACACCAAGAGCTTGTAATGTGTTTGTCAAGAGTAGTTGTTTTGTTCTATATATAATCTTCCAAAACCTTTTATAAAGAGTGACAATTTCATGAACTCTTGAGCTCTTGTATCTTATATCTCTTGTTTTATCATCAGAATTAGGTGGAATCATAGAATTATTGGGTGATAAAGGAAGGGAAATTGGAGGTGAGATGTGTTGATGGATATGAAGCTGGTTTAGTATTTCCATGGCATATTCTAGGGGATTGAGCTGTGGAGGGACAGTGAAGCCATTGGAGAGTAAGAAAGTTTCAAGTGAAGAAAGTGTACCTTGGTGCACAACACTTCCTTTTGATAACAATAGAATTTTATCAATGGTAGATAGGATCTTGAAGCTAGGTTGGTGTATGGACAAGACCACCGTCCGGTGATGTGAGTCGGTGATCGTCCGGAGGGTCTGCATTACATTGAAAGCAGAAGTACTGTCAAGCCCTGAGGTGGGTTCATCGAGAAGTAACACGGCCGGCTCATTGAGGAGGCTAAGGCCTATCGAGACACGTCTTCGCTCTCCACCGGAGAGGCCATGGGCGAGCCGTGTGTGTGCCAAGTGTGTGAGCCTGAGCTCGGCGAGGAGAGAGGCCACAATGGCTACAATTTTGGGTGATTTAGGGTTGAGGAGGGAAGCGGCGAAGGCGAAGGTTTCGGATACAGTGAGCAATGGAAGGCATGCATCATGTTGAGGGACATAAGCTGAGAGTTTTCGGAATGAAGAAGGGTTGAGTGGGGAAGAGTTGAGAAGAAGAGTGCCACTTGTGGGGGAAGTTCTTGCAGCTAAAATGTCGAGTAGTGTGGATTTTCCGGCACCACTTGGGCCGACAATGGCGAGGATTTGAGAAGGATAGGCGGTGAGAGAGACTTCTTGGAGGATGTATTTGGGTGGTAGTGTACATGTAATGCAGGGTTTGAAGAGGAAGGTGGGTGCAATGGATGGGGTGGTGGATTTGGTATAGGAGATTGAGGAAGCTGTTAATTTATAGGTTTTGAGAGGTGGTGGTGGTGGTGGAGGTGGTGGTGGTGAATCTTCCATGGAGGAGCTGGTGGAGGAGATGACAGAAGGGAGAGAGTCTGAGGAAGCTGTTAATTTATAGGTTTTGAGAGGTGGTGGTGGAGGTGGGGGTGGAGGTGGTGGATCTTCCATGGAGGAGCTGGTGGAGGGGATGAGGGAAGGGAGAGAGTTTGAGGAAGAGACAAGGAAATGTGGAGGGATATGTTGGTGATAGTCTCCATGAGTTTGGAGTATAATGCTTGTGAATTGAAGGATAAGAAGTGTCGCAATTAAAATGTTTGGGAGTGCCTCTTGGTAATATAAATTATACTTTCTTTCTTTTTTCTTTTTTTAGGGTAAATATACTTTAAAGTTGATAAAATTAAGCAAGCATTTTCCAAATTATTTTAACAAGGATAACTTAACATTTTTTTTTTTTTTTTCATAACAGTTTTTCTTCATCTATACAATCATAGTTATTTACCGAAAATACCAAAAAGGATAAAACTTTTCCACCTAGAACTTTGTTTCTCCTTCTCACATAATATATATATATATATATATATATAATTTTTAAAAATAAAAATAAAAAATCTCCCTGCAGATGGAATTATTGATATATACAACTTTTAACTAATGAGGCAATCACAATCGCAGTCGCAATCATTTGTAATTAGTGGTGTTGCTTTCAAATAATTGGGTCGAGCTGGCTGAATTGTCTAGTTTTGCTAAAATGCAGCACTTCTGTGACTGCGATGGTTGATAACCACAATATATATATATATATATATATATATAAGAATTGTTCACTTATTGGTGTGCAGGATACACATGCACATTTTAAATATTAATTGTTAAATTTTACTGGATAGTTAAAAAGATAATTTATTCTTTTATATTCACCGATTAAGATTTAATTCGTACATAAATTCTTATATACCAGTGAATAGGTCTCTCTATATATATATATATATAGTGAAAAAAAGAAGTAAGAATAAGACATGTGATAGTGTGATTGAATTAAAAATTACAGTTACATTAATCAGCTGATTAGGAGGATCAACTGCAATCTAACAGTGTGACCTAAATGGATTTAGGATATATAGAAAATTAAGCTCAGAAGATAAATGGGAGATATAAAATAAAATAGTACAATGATCGAGAATGTAAAATATAATTAATTAAGGTAAAATGAAATAGATTATATATGTAGCTAGTAGCTAGTTGTGAGAGGAATTTTTATTTCGTTGAAACAACAATCATGCATGTGAACATTTATGTTGAATTTTTGTTCAAAACTGGGGCAACTTGGAATCATTGGAATGTGTTAATGAGGAAAAAGAAACCAGCTAGGAACCCTCCCCAAGTTCACGAGCTTACTGTTCTCTCACTATATATATATATATATATATATATATATATCACGAGTATATATATTTATATATCACGAGTATGTATCTTATATATATTCAGCCAGCATATGTGCATGTCACGACGGTCTTTCCATTAAATGTCTGCAAGTCCGTGATTCATTGGTCGTCCCCTTGTGAATTGTGAGCCGGATCCTCTCAGGCGCATAAAAATGTACTGTACTAATATATGGAACATATGTAGTACTAGGGTATCATACATCTTCTCAATTGAATGATGTTGTAATGTTAAATCTCGATGTATTATATTATATAATTTGATTTAAAATACAGATGATAACAGGACGGTCTACCCATTTCATCTCATTAAGTATATTATATGAATGGAATTGAAACTCATTAGATTTTCACTACTTTTCCATGTAGTAATTGTTAATTTAGGATAAATTTAATGGTTATAATTGATATCCATTTATTAAAAAAAAAAAAAAAATCTAGTAATCCATTTCTATCACAGGATGTTGGTTGAGATAAGGTTATATGAACTATATGAAGATACAATTGGTGATGTGATTCTGGTCCCAGCCTATATATGTGATTGTGACCCATACGAATAGATTGGTGAGGTGAATTTAACCCCAGCAGGTGTGTTTTTTTTTTATTATTAATTGATGCTCATACACACATTTTTTTTTTATAAATTATTTGTACTTAAAGAAAATCAAATAGTAGACTGATACTTACTTAAAACCCTAATAAGTTAATTCGCGTATGATACGCGTCTAAATTTTGAAAAAATATTTTTGTTTGCCGATCAGAGTGGAAAGATACTGTAAAATACGTATTTTTTTCCATCACCCCGTATCTAACGCGTTTATTCATTTATTGGTTTCGGTTGCTTCGTTTAATTGGTAACCTAATTATTATTTTTTTCGTTTACGGACTTCACGTTTCTAATAGCGTATTTTTCTGAAACACAAACTATCGTCTTTTCTACCCTCTTTTGTTTGGTATATCTATTATTTTTTAAACCATTTGAAACACAAACTATCGTCTTTTCTATCCTCTTTTGTTTGGTATAGCTATTATTTTTTAAACTATCAAAATAATGTTATTAGTTGTGCAAACTTTTTTCTACCCTCTTTTGCTTGATATAAGTATTATGCAATCTCTTATTGTTGTCACCCCAATTATGATATTTAATCAAAGTAATGAAAGATATATATATCTATACTATTATTAAATGTGGAAAGTGTTTATATAAAAAAAATATTTATTAATTGATATAAAAATAGTTTTTGTAAAAATAGTTTCTATAAAACTTTAAAATTACCTAATAAAATCAATCACATTCTATATAAAACTCTTATTTTTAGTTATTTTTTATGAATAATTATAGTTTCTATCAAACTCTAAAAATTACCTAATAAAATCAATCACATTCTATATAAAACTCTTATTTTTAGTTATTTTTTATAGATAATTATCACAATATAACCGGTCCGGCCCAATTATGATTATGTTATCATCAGAAAAGGACACATGTCATCATCCTATCCACCCAAGAAGCCTATAAATAAAGGCATGGAGGAATGAGGAAGGGGTATAGAAATTGAGAATTCTAGAAATTCAGAATTTCAGAGTAAAACTCTATTACAAATTACCTATTTTATTTTCTATAAAACTCTATCAACAGAGTTTCTATAAAACTCTAACACAAATTACCTGTTTATCTATTTATTATGAGTTTTTTAATAAAAAGAAACCTAATTAAACAAGTATTATTAATATAAAAAATTATTTCTTAACTAATACAAAAAGAGGTTTTAAAAGAGTTTTTAAAAAACTCTAACACAAATTACCTATTTATCAATTTATTATTAGTTTTTTAATGAAACTAAATGTAATTAGACAATAATTATTAAAATAAATAATATTTATTAATTGATATAAAAAGAGTTTTTAAAAGAGTTTGTATTAAACTCTAACACAAATTACCTATTTATTTATTATAAGTTTTTTAATAAATGAAAATCTAAGTAGCCAAGAATTATTAATATAAAAAATATTTTTAATTGATATAAAAAATAAAATAATTAATGTGCAAAGAGTTTCAGTATTTAACTATCTATTTATAAAAAAATATATTTATTAATTGATATGGAAAGTATTTTTAAAAAAAAAAACAAAAAACAAAACTCTATCAAACTCCAAAATCTATCTAATAAAATTTAAATTAACCTCGTTTATTATTAACATAAAAATTACTTATTAATTGATATATAAAATAAAATAATATTTCTAAAACTCTACCACAAATTAACTTTTATTATGAGTTTGTTAATAAAATTAAATTTAATTAGACAAGAATATATTTAAAGAAAATAAAATATTAAATGTGTAAAGAGTTTCAGTATTTATTTATTTATATAAAAAATATTTATTAATTGATATGAAAAGAGTTTTTATAAAAAAAAAATAAAAATAAAAGAAAAAAAAAACTCTACAAAACTCTAAAATCTACCTAATAAAATTCAAATTAACCTATTTATCTATTTATTATTATAAATTTTTTAATAAAAGAAAATCTAAAGTTTCATATTTATTTATTTTCTTAAAAAATATTTATTAAATGTGGAATGACTTTCAGTATTTCAGTATTTATTTATTTATATAAAAAAATATTTATTAACTAATATGAAAAGAGTTTTTATAGAAAAAAACTTTTATAAAACTCTAAAATCTACCTAATAAAATTCAAATTAACTTATTTATTACTATGAATTTTTTAATAAAAGAAAACCTAATTTTCTGAGTAAAATACAGAAGTTGTGCCAAGGTGTTTAAGTATTTATTTATTTATATAAAAAAATATTTATTAATTGATATAAAGAAAAGTTTTTATCTATAGTATTATTACATGTGCAAAGAGTTTCAGTATTTAACTATTTATTTTTATAAAAAAGATATTTATTAATTGATATGCAAATGTTTTTATAAAATAAAAAATAAAAAAAAATTATCAATCAAACTCTAAAATCTATCTAATAAAATTTAAGTTAATCTATTTATCTATTTATTATTATGAATTTTTTAATAAAAGAAAATCTACTTAGACTAGAATTATTAATTGATAAATAAAATAAAATAATTTTTCTAAAACTCTAACATAAATTAACTTTTATTATGAGTTTTTTAATAAAATTAAATCTAATTAAAGAAGAATATATTTAAAGAAAATAAAATAATTTTTATAAAACTCTATCACAAATCACAAATTTTATTTTCAATAAAACTCTATCACAATAGACAAAGATATAATATTTAAATAGTCTCTATAAAATTTTAACTCAAATTTTATATTTATATATTTATTAAGTGTTTTTTAATAAAAGGAGATCTAATTAGACAAGTATTTTTAATATAAATAATTATTTATTAATTGATCTAAAAAGAGTTTTTAAAAGAGTTTCAATAAAACTATATCACAAATTACCTATTTATCTATTTATTATGAGTTTTTTTAATAAAAGAAAATCTAATTAGACAAGCATTATTAAGATAAAAAAATATTTTTAATTAATGTAAAAAGATGTTTGAAAAGAGTTTTTATAAAACTCTAACACAAATTACTTATTTATCTATATATCATGAGTTTTTTAATAAAAAGAAATCTAATTAGACAAGAATTATTAATATAAAAAAATATTTATTAATTGATATAAAAAGTGTTTTTTAAAGAATTTCTATTAAACTGTAACATAAATTACCTATTTATTTATTTATTATAAATATATTTTCAGAAAATATAGTAATTTCTATAAAACTCTTCCACAAATTATCTATTTTATTTTTTTAAAAACTCTATCACATATAACTTGTTTTTATTTATTTATTGTGAGTTTTTTATGAAGGAAATCTAATTAGACAACGATATATTTAAAGAGAATAAAATATTTTTTTAAAAGAGTTTATATAAAATTCTAATAAAAATTACCTATTTATGTATTTATTATGAATTTTTTAATAAAATATAATATAACTAGATAAGAATTATTAATATAAAAAATATTTAATAACTGGTATAAAAAATAATTTTTTGAAAACTCTACAACAAATTATCTTTTATTATGATTTTTTTAATAAAAAAAATATAATTAGACAT